CTTTGGTCTCTCTGTCCAGCACTCCTTCTGTTACAAGCTTGTAGAAATTCTCAATGGAAGGTTTTAGAGTGAAGGGAACATCCTCTTGAATGTAACAAATCATCCTTCCATTTTCCCCAGAGTCTCGGTCTTGAACACTGAAAAGAGCTATGGTAGTCTTGGGGGAATTTTCCGGGATAAGGCTTATAAGTGAAGCCACCGTCAGTTCTGGACTGTTGTCATTTATATCCACCACTTGTATTTTGACCATGCATTTTCCAGAAAGACCTGCCCCATCAGAGGCCTTAATATCTACCTCATATGACATAATTTTTTCAAAATCTAGTTTCTTAATTATTTTAATTTCTCCTGTTAGTTCATTAAGTGCAAATGTCTTAGTAATCTCTTCATCAGCATAAAAAAATGAGTAGAATACTTCTCCATTTATTCCCGTGTCTAAATCTCTAGCAGAAACAGTGACAATAAGGGATCCCAGGGTACTGTTTTCCAGGATCTGCACATGATAGACTGGCTGCACAAACTCAGGGGCATTGTCATTGATGTCCAAGACATCAACGAGGACCAGTGCAGTCCCAGTTTTAGGAGGAGCTCCACCATCTACTGCGGTGAGGGTTAACCTGAGCTCAGGCTGCTCCTCTCTGTCTAGAGCTTTGAGCAGAACCAGCTCCGGGTACTTTCTGCCCTCACCACCAATGCGGGTAAGAACGTGGAAATGAGAGCTGGGGTAGACGGTGTAGTTCTGAATGTTATTGATGCCTACATCCAAATCTTGTGCATTTTTTAGGGGAAACACAGTTCCTGGGAGAGTATTTTCCAGAATTTTCAAAATCATTTCTGTCTCTGGGAACACGGGGGAATTGTCATTTATATCATTAACCAAAAGCTTAAACCTATATACCTCCAAAGGTTCTTCCAGTAACACTTGGAATTGCAGCACACAAGGCTCAATGTGGCCACACAGTTCTTCCCGATCCAGTTTCTCATTTACTTGTAAATCTCCAGTCTGAAGGTTCAGCTGAAAATGTCTCTTGTGATTATTAAAAACGACCCGAGCCCTCCTCCAAGGCAGCTCTCCTACCCCTAGCCCTATATCCTTTGCTAGATTGGCCACAATAGAACCTCTGTCGGTTTCTTCTGCGATGCTGTAATCTTCCTGCTCCGCGCAAGTCTGAGCCAGCAAAACAAAGAGAAGAACTTGCCTTAGTTTAGGAAAGCGCTCCCTTTCAGTCTCCATTTCTCCAAAAGCAAAAGCCTTTAGGGTCCGGGTGCCTTTTGGGTCTGTAGGCAATGTGCTCTGGCAGTCAATCCTTGCCGCAAGGAAGTTCCGTTAAGATTGCTCTTTTGTTAGGTAGGTCTGTGTGTGACTGCCGGAACAGTAACCATTCGCAGGTCTGTTTTTTGCAGCCTTAGCTTACAGCGCCACCATGTGTTGTACTTAGTTTGCTGAAAATGCTACAAAACGCACTCCACTTATTTAGATTTATGCACACATACAACAAACCACGGGTTGTATGTGGGGTGACTAACACACAAAGACAAACTATGGGTAACATATGGGGTGGATTATAAATAAAAGTGGTAACTTCTGTTTTCCTGTGAGATTATGAATGTGGAAATGGTGCCACTTGGAGAATGGTGTAAGAACAAAGCTAACTTTATTTGTTTACTCAACAAATGCTTATTGATTTCATATTATATATCAGGCACTGTGCTGAGTTCTGGAAATACAAGTATATTCTCTGGCCCCATGGAGTTTACAATACTATATTGTATAGTCTTGTGTTCTGGGGGGAAATTGAGTAGAAAAAGATGTGCAGCTATCAGTCTATTCCTAAAGAAAGAATAAATACCAATAAACTCAGCTCATAGCTAGCACAGTAGATGAAGAGATTCATTCATTATGTTTCACCATATCAACATAAGTGATAGACCAGCTAGAATTGGTTTATTATACAAACTCAACAGGCAGCTTAAGGGGTTGTGGATAACTTGTTTGTAAATATTGTCTAAGGGGAATATCTCTGTACATCTGTGAGCATATTGCATTGACTTGTTCCATTATCCAAACAATTTGTAAAGAGCTTCTACAGTTATTCCTAAAACTAAGATTCATACATGTTGAACCTGAGATTCACCTTAGCATGGAACTGAAGTTCTTTTTCTCCTAAGGATGGGAAAAACATCTTGGAGTGGAGGACCTGGGGTCTCCCCAGTTGCACCAAAATTTGGACAGTATTTTAATAATAATGTTTAAATAATGGACAGTGTCATACATTCTGGCACTCTAATTACCTAGCTAACTGGAAAAACAATGTGAGCCAAGTGTAAAAGTTGTGTTGCATATTGACTTAATTAAGGTACAGATAACTCAAATTGATATTATATTTTTAAATGTTTTGCTCTACACCATGCAATAAATTTGATTTAGTAAACTTTCACAATATGAGAACATGCTGGTCAAAGTGAAAATCTGATAATTTTCCTCAAGGAAAGATCTTGGTCATGGATCTAAATTCTTTATTATAGAATTAGATGTTCAAGAAAATGTGGCCTTAAGTACTAATGATAGAAGCTGTTTCCTATGTCAGTAAGCAAATGGATCAAAATTAATTTTTTATTCCCATCTTTCAGATAAATTTTCTCCTTGTTTTCTCTTCTAAGGAGAAAATTTTAAGCCCATCAACTTGGCAGGGAGCTTGAAATGTTTTTCATGAGGCTTTCTAGTAGACTATGTGTCAATCAAATTATAGTTATTACCATTAATGAAATAATGAATCAACTATATGATCTATAAATCAGATTATTTAATTCACATTAAATGATAAAATATTTATTCCATATTGAACTCATTAAATAATTTTTAAAAGAAAGGTGCTAAGGAGGGTATGATGATCCTGAGAAAAGTATGGACATCCAAATAATAACAATTTCAGTGTTACTTTTAAAAACTGATCCTGGGGCACATAAAATATTGAAGAGAAACTTGTTAACAAGATATTCCATAAAACCTTTTGTAACAATTTTCCGTCAAAAGACCTCATAAATTATTTACAAAATTTTGTAGAAAAATTCTCTAGTATAGTTATCTTTAAGCTTGCACATTTTTATTCCACTAATTGATTAAGTTAATATTAGATGCATGCAATAAAAGACCTGGGTTTGATACTATACAGTCTAATTGAGTACTCAAGGTTGTATGTATCTTTCCTGTCACTTTTGGTTTCCAGAAATGCACCCCTCCCCAAGATAGGTTAAACAGAGGAGTTTTATTATTAGGAAACTAGAGTGTTACTGTAGAACTCAAGACAATTTGACATGGGGGATTTAGAAAAACTGAAATCAAGAACTGACAGATCTAGCACCAAGCAGATGTCTTAAGTCTCTACTGTTTTTTAGGCTTCAGATTCCTCCACTTCCTTGTTCCTTCTCACTTTTACTCCTTCGTTCCCTTCCTTACTCCCGTTTCCTTCCCTCTCTAGATACCATTCTGTGATGCCAGCCTACGTAAGTATAAACATGGCTACCTCAGCCTATGCTTAACATTTACTTCCTAGTTACAAGCAATCAAGAAAAAAAAATCAAGATGAACTATCTCTTAATTACAAATTTAGGGGCTTGGAGAATATGCCCATTCCCACTTTAATCAGGAGTCTGTCACTGGACCAATCAAAAATGGCCAGGAGAGGTAAAGAAAAGTAGAATAAGCATCTCAGTATTGATTACCTCTCTTGGGTAGTACCAAGAAGTTTTTAGACAAGTATGGGCTGAGTATATATCTTAATCCAAACAAGATTATTACTTATCTTACTGTAACAGCATCTACTAGCAACATACTTATGAAGAAAAATACCTGAAAGCAGAAAAATTCTCTGACACATTTGATAGAAAAATGAAATGTAAAGATTAAATTTTTTTAAAAAACCTGAAAACATAAAAACCATGCATGTTTTTTATTCCTACCATCCATTTTCCCCTATAATAATACTATATCAAACATGGAAAAATTGTCTTGATGAGGTTCTGGAGTCCATAACACCCAGAGAATGACTGAGCCAAGTGTGCAATTAAGTTGAAGAGAAACTGCTGTATATCTTAATAAATTATTTGAGGTTGCATTTTGAAAGAAAGACTAAGAAAATCCTAGCTCCCTTCATTTTTTCACGGTTAATGAGCAGAGAATAGATTTAAATTATTGAAATTTCTCAAAATTCTTAAGTAAAATGAAGTTACCCAAAATGTAATTTTGCACTACAATGAATAAATTTTTACAAAGAAATAGCACTCATTCTAAAAGTTCTGCATAATAATGAAATCTCTAATTTAACTCAAAGCCATTCAGAAAGGTGTGGCTTTCCTCCCTTTCAGTGCCCTGGGGCGGGAATTTGGGGATAACGGGTTTAAGGAATTTGAACTCGCTGGTCCCAGTACCTCCGCTCAGACACACCTCATACTGGTAGCTGTGGGACAGGGTCCCGGTGCCGCTGACGTCCACCAGGTGGCCCGGGAAGGGGCCCTCGGGCACCGAGCAGCGACCCGCCCGCGCCGCCCCGCCCCGCCCGCACAGCCGCACCGCCACGAACACCAGCACCGAGAAGAGGAAGAGCGACGACACGGACGCCAAGGCCACCACCAGGTAGACGGTGAGCGCGTCGGCCGGCGCCGCGGCCGCCGCCTCCGCTTCCGCTTCCGGGGGCGGCAGGTGGGGCTGCGAGAAGCCGTCCACCAGCAGCACGTGCAGCGTGACGCTGGCCGACAGCGGCGGCTGGCCGTTGTCCTTGACCAGCACCAGCAGCCTGTGCCTGGCCGCGTCGCGCTCGCTCAGCGGCCTGGCCGTGCGCACCTCGCCGTTGTGCGCCCACACGCCGAACAGCCCGGGCTCCGTGGCCTTGAGCAGCTGGTACGACAGCCAGGCGTTCTGGCCCGCGTCGCCGTCCACCGCCACCACCTTGGTCACCAGGTAGCCCGGCTCGGCCGCCCTGGGCAGCAGCTCGGTGCAGGGCGCCGAGGTGTTCTGCAGCGGGTACAGCACGAAGGGCGCGTTGTCGTTGTCGTCCTCCACGAGCACGCGCACCAGCGCCTGGCTGCTCAGCGGCGGCGAGCCGCGGTCGGCGGCGCCCACGCGGAACTCGAAGGCGCGCAGGGCCTCGTAGTCCAGGGACCGCAGGGCGAACAGGTGGCCGTTGTCGGCGTTGATGGACACGAGGGAGGCCAGGGGCACGTGCGGGTCGGCGGGCGGCAGCAGCGAGTAGGTGACCTGGGCGTTGGCGCCTGCGTCTGTGTCTGTGGCGCTGACGGTGCCGATGTGCAGCGCGGGGCTGTTGTTCTCGCGGACCCGCAGGGTGTAGGAGGCCTGGGTGAAGGCGGGGGCGTTGTCGTTGACGTCGGACACTAGTACCGTTATGTTGTGCTGGGTTTTCAGCCTGGGGGTTCCCATATCTGTGACCGTGATGGTGATATTATATTTGGCTTTGCTCTCTCTGTCCAGTGGGCTCTCTGTTACCAAGGTGTAGAAATTTTTGAAGGTAGGCTTCAAGAGAAAGGGGAGATCTTCCTGAATTGAGCAAACCATCCTCCCATTGTCCCCAGAGTCTTGATCTCGTAGACTAAAAACAGCGACCACCATTTCAGGCGACGAATTTTCTGGGATGGGACTGGTAAGAGATGTTATGACAATTTCTGGTGGGTTGTCATTCACATCTACAACATGAACTAAAATTGATGATTTTCCCGAAAGGCTACCACCGTCAATGGCCTGAATATTTATTGTATAAGATTGAATTAACTCAAAATCCAGAAGCGCTTTTAAACGGACTTCACCAGAAATTGGATGGATTTCAAATGTTTTCCGTATGTCTCTGGAGACGTGCGAAAATGAATAAGATAGTTCTCCGTTTATTCCTGCATCTATATCTGTAGCCGACACCTTGACAACCAAGGAGTTCAGAGGGCTGTCTTCTGGTACCAGAACCTCATAGAGGGGCCTCTCAAACTCTGGGGCATTGTCATTGATATCTAAGACCAACACACGCACCAGTGCAGTTCCAGATCTGGGCGGAGACCCACCATCCAGGGCTGTTAGTGTTAATTTAAGTTCAGGCTCCTTTTCTCGATCAAGAGATTGGTCCAGTAACAGCTCTGGGTATTTTCTGCCCTCGTCACTGTCTTGCAGTTTAAGGAGGAAATGAGGATTGGGGCTTAATGTGTAGTTTTGGACACCATTCTTGCCTACATCCAAGTCCTGAGCACTATCCATTTGGAATGAGGTTCCTGGAGCAGTACTTTCTGAGATTTTCAGAAGTATATGTTTGTCTAGGAATGTGGGAGTGTGATCATTTATGTCTTTGACCCAAAGCTCAGCCCGAAAAAATTGCAAAGGATTTTCAAATAATACCTGGAAATGCAATATACATGGCTCGGTGAAATCGCAAAGTGCCTCCCGGTCCAGTTGCTCATTTAAGAGCAAGTTGCCAGTCTGCTGATCTAAAAGCAAGTATGGCTTATAGTCGTCAAAGATGACTGTGGCTCCCCGTGCAGCCAGGTCTTCCACATCCAAACCTATGTCTTTCACCACGTTGCCTATAAAGGATCCCATCTCCGTTTCCTCTGCCACAGAATAGTGCCAGGTCTCTGAACACACCAAAGACCCTCCCAGGAAAACAAAGAAAAGCAGCACTTGCCTTATCTGCTGAGGGCTCCCTTCTCCCGGCTCCATGGCTCCCTGGCCAAACATCATTCCTCAGAAATATTTCAAGTCAGTCTCAAACAGCTCCTTTCACCTATCAGCCTGACCACTGGGAGTTTATAGACTTGCAGTCCTGTGGCGAAGGGCTTCTTGGCTCCCTAGCTTTCTCTTGGAAGCCTCTTTTTATCACCACTGCTTCTCCAGCACTCTCGGTTCCACTGGTTCACGGAAACCGGAGCATCTGATGATACAAAATTTCCCTATCTTATCCTGCAGCGCCACCATGCGACTCTGTAGATTCTCATGTTTTAAACAAAGTCAAGTAAGTTTGAGAAAAAATATTATTTTATCTTTTATGTTGATAACTCTGAATTCTGTTTTCTCCTATATTCCTCTTTTGTGAGTTTTGTTCTTTGTGATATGTGATGCTGTTACTATTCAGTCTTTAACTCAATAAACCACAATGTCTAGAGCTGTGGTAGATATGAAAAGCATATTTAAGCTATAGTCCCAACCTCAAATAATTTATGATCTCTCTGGGAAGACAATATATAAAGCAATTAAAAATAGGACTCTTTAATGTAATTTGCTTAGTAAGAGGTTTCCCAGAAAATTGCAAATGGGAA